TGCAACACTAGAAAATATAAGGCATAACAAAAAAAACTAAAATATTGCTATTGATTAGGATAACTTAATGTATACTTGAACAGCAAAGAAAACAGACTATTCAAAGACACTTCAATGGCCATAGAGCTCACATTAAGCTGTAGGATAAACACCTGCAATCAGTTCAAATCATCTGCACAGCATTGTGGATGAGAATAATCAAACTTACAAATTGTTTCTCCAATCAAAACCACCTAAATCCTCTATCATCCACCATTAAATGCGGCAAGCTTTCTGTCTGCTTCTCTCCTTCACAAACAAGCACCAGATCCTTTTACTTTGACGTCAATTGGGACGCATTTTACACACTGCACTGAGTCACTTTCTCTCACTTCACCTCAGCAAAGTGAGAAAAAAAACAGCATCTGTAAACAAGAGCAGAAGCCCACGCCCAGTTCTGACCGGGACAGACCGCAAAGTTTTAATCCAATCAGTTACCTTGTCTTCCACAGCCTGACAGATGCCCAGCTGAGCTTTACCAGAGAGCCAGATCATCATCAAGAGGAAGAAAATGAAATAAATCAGGTATATATGTCAGTCTAATGTGAACAACCTTAACCAGATGAAAAATCATTATATTAAATGATGAGAAGAGATGACAAACCCACTGATCTCTGATACATAAATATTCAGTTCTATGGGGAAAAAACATCCTTCTTTGATTCTATTTTGCTTCCAAGGTACCAGTCTGAAGGTTGTTTTTTTTTTATAATTTGGCTTATTATTTTCATCATTTTGGTAATTCACCAGGCTATTTTCAGATAATTGTTTCTATTTCTAGCAAGCATTAAAAAAGCTTCTAAACACAGTGCATGAACCATGACGCTCCACACTCTTTTTGACACTGGCGTCACTCTCATTGTCACCCTAACAGTTCATTTAAACAGAGATGGCAAAAGTACTCCCTTTCCGTACTTAAGTAAAAGTACAGATACTTGTGTTAAAAAATACTCTGGTAAAAATGGAAGTACTGATTAAACTTCTTTACTCAAGTAAAAGTAACAAAGTACAGGCTTGTAAATTTACTTAAAGTATAAAAGTAAAAGTAGAAACCACTTTTTTCATGCCGTTGCCTACATTTTAAATGGATGTCTGCCAATAGGACTAGATCTCCGTTGTGTTCATTTTCAACCATCTGGTCGTCCATACTACTATGCTAACGCCACCGCCACCAAGCTGCAATGATTTGCCACGAATGAATTCCGCCGAATCTGTCGATTCATCTTGCAGTGGTGCGTCAAATGCAACGTAGATTCCCATCCAATTAGATTGAATTTGGTATTGATGACGTGAAAAATAATAACGGTAACTCTTTTGAAATGATTTAAAACTAAAGTAACGAGCCAATTTTTTAAAATGTAAGGAGTAGAAAGTACAGATATTTGTGTAAAAATGTAAGGAGTAGAAGTAAAAAGTCGCCATAAAAATAAGTAGTAAAGTAAAGTAAAAATATCAGAAAAATCTACTTCAGTACAGTAACGAAGTATTTGTACTTCATTACTTCCCATCTCCGCATTTAAATGAAGGAATTATGAACAATTATTTTATATTTCAAATCATAAAAAAAAACAAAAAACAAACAGTTATTTTAAAGAAGAATGACTTTGTGTTTTTGGAGCCAAACTCAGACCCTATTACTGCAACACCTGCAGAATGAAGACATTACCTAAACAGAACCCATCTGACATCATGAAGTAGGCCAAATGTTTTAAGAAACATCGGCAACATATCAGGCCCCAAACTAAAGCAATTCCAAAAACAGACCAGAAACACTGAGATCAATCTGACTGAAAGGATGAAAAAACTGTGTCTAAGCCTTTTGGAATTTGGAGAACCAAACTGAAAACCAAGGACAGAGAACTGCACAGCAGTATGAACATCCTAGGTTTTATTTTCCTGAGTTTATGGGTCTGAGAGTCTGAGCGTAGACAGTGTCCATACAGTAGAACAGTTCTTCCAAAACCTCACACCTAAAAACATGGTGCTAGTTTGACTGTCTGAGTCCACTTATAGTGGTTCCAACCTGCTGGAACCTCTTAAATCCTGAAGGAAAATCTCCAACCATCTTAGACTTAGACAGACTATATTACCATTTTTTACACACAGAGTGTATACAAAAAGAAATTTCTTTCAGTACAGCTCTCAAAATTTTTTTAAAGTGCACACAGAACTGAGTCGGTGCTAATTGTGTGACTCTAGCACACCAGCAAGTTTACCTCAGAAAGGCTTAAAAATGTAATGATTTCGGAATGGCCTAGTCAAAGTTTTCTCTTAAAACTGATTCAGATGTTGAAGCATGACCATCAACACCATTGAAAACCCTTTAATTGGAATAAGTTCTGTTTTCATACCAATAGAGTCCTTTGTTCTGCTTGTTAGGTCCAGACCCAGAGCAAATATTTTATTTGTCTTGTTTGGTGCAGTTTGTTTTAAAATTATACTTATTGGAAGTGATTTATAACTGGTAAACAGAGCTACATATTTGACAATCATCGCTCCCACTGGACAGAAATGATAGGGGATAAAAAGCACAGACTCAGAAATGGAGGAAAACTTTCATTGAAGTCCAGTTTGCTGAATTTCTGCTACGCGTTCATGGCAAAATCGCAACTGCATGCACTTTTACCATACCATATTCCTTGCTCTGATCTGTATCAGTGAATGCATGCTGTATAACGTCACTACAGCTACAGGCCCCTATGGTGGCTTATTGTGTCCACCAGAAGCAAAGTCAACCAGAGTTTATTTGGTTTTGATCTGAAAACACCTCAGAAAGTGTTACTCAGTCTGGTTGTTTGATTCACACCAAGGCTGCATGATTGTATTCACACCAAGACAGCATGTTCAGATCAAGAGGGAACAAATATTATCAAACTACCAAACGCGGTAGATGTGAAAACCCCCTAAAACAGTGCTGCAAAGTGTGCTGCAAAAGTGGTCTAAAATTCCACCACAGAGATATGAAAAAAACACACATTTCCATTTTTGGATATGCTTGATGGCTGCCAAGGGGAACCCAGCTACTAATATAAGTTTAAAGGAAAATTACTTTTCACATAAGGCAAGGTTGCTTTGAATATCCTTTTTTATATTAGTTAAATAATTGTTTTAAATTGGTCAAAATCTGCAACTTTTTTTAATATAAAGTTTGATGTTCAAAAAGAAAGCAGGACAAATCGCTGTTTGCTGAAGCAAAGTCCAACTTCTGCACTAACAAATATTTAAGTAGTGAAAAAAACCCACCCAATCTGGCAAAACAGTCAATACATGGCCCAAAGACTCAACAATCGGTGAGGATAGTGTTTGTATGCACGTGCATGTAGTTGATGTTCAAAGAAAGAACACACCACCTACTAGTGATATGGCAGAGTAATTACACCCTTTTTAAAATGTTTTCATATTTAGAAATAGAAATATGTGCCATATTTAATGGAGAAGGAACGCACTTTGTCCCATATTACTGTGAGAGTGAAAAAATGTAATGGAAAAGCTCTTGGAAAATGAAAGGCACGTTAGATACAAAACTTACGGTAAACATGTTTACGGGCTCTGTCCTGTGTTGTGATCAATGGTCTGACAACATATATGTAAACGATCCAGAATACCCTCATCCCATTGGTCGAGCCAAGTGTTGCTCACAGAGAAGAAAGCCGGAGAAAATGATTTTTTTTCTGTTTACAAGTTTCCTGTTGCACCAAAAATGTGCACAATTTATTTATTGTTTTCTGTTCATTTTTACAGTTTGAAGTTAAGCAGGACAGGATTATGTTTAAGATAATTATTTTATTCAGCAAAGTTTGTTATTTTTTATTAAAGTAAATTGCTGGATAATAATGTGTTTTCCATGTGTTCATGTCACTCACAAATATGCATTTAATTCAATGCATATTTGAGTCAAATGGATAAAAGAAATCCTTTCACACACAAAGAGGGGCTAAGAAAAAATCCCGATAAGGAGGGGTAAAGGCAATCAGGTCAGATGGCACGCAAATGCTGTTTTTTTTTCAGAAAGTTGGCAACCCTAGGAATAGGAAAGCTAACAGTTGGACCACCATGGTATTATGCTCCACAGATTGGCTACTTTCTGAAATGATAAAAGAATGCAGAGGTCCAGTTTACTACAAGTAAGTTAGAGGACACAGCTAACATGTGGAGTGCGGTGTTCTGGAAGGAGAACAATATTCACTTCTTTGGCCTAAATGCAAAACTCAGTGTGATGAAACTAACACTACATCATAGTGAAACACAGCGGTGGTAGCACCATGGGGGCTCACCATAGAACAAAGTGTTAAGTTATTACAGAATATACCAGGCTTTGAACATCTCACTCAACTCTGCAAATCAAGTCATTTGAAATTGAGATAGAATATGGTTTAAATATGAAAGACAGGTATGAATATTTTTTTAGGGACTGAAAAGGAGGTTAAGAGATGAGGCTGGGCGATTGTCAAAAGTATAAGCATGACAGATTTAAAAAATAAACTGTATAGATGTAAAGTCCTTGAACCTTGGTGCATCCTTCCTTTAAATCCATTCACAGAACAATCTTGGAGTTATTCACTCAGCTATACTGCAGACACTGTTCTGTTATCAGGATGAAATCAATTTACGTGCTTTTATGCTGCAAAACAACAACTTCATCTCTAGTAAACGGTCAGAGTTAACACTAAACTTAAATTAAGTCACTAAATGGGAACTTATGCACTGATATATAACTTATCCAAGTCCTTCTGGAGCACAAAAGATATCTGCAAGTCAACGTTAAAGGCCTAAAAGAAACCAAAAAAAAAAAAAATACTGCAACATGACAAAGTCCATAAATCAGGCCTCTATTCTGCTTCTCACCCTCATTTCCCTTCAGAAATGAGAATATGAGGAATAATCAGCCAAATGGTAAATGATTCCCAGGCGTGCATAATGTTACGCGTGTGGGTAAATGGAGAAACAGCGCATCCCCTCACCGGATCACTGCAGCAACCTGCACCCAAATGCAGGCCGGCGTCCCTGCAAACAGAAAAAAAATATCCCGCACCTCGAGTCTTTGCGTTCACGCACGGAATGATACTAAAAGAAGACCCCCCTCTTTTATGTTGCCGTGATGTGTGGGGCCTTACCTGAAGGGTCACTCTCAGATTTCTGCTTGGATGTGTCCTCCTCTAAAGACGCGGCCGGTTGGATCGATAAGCGGAACGGCTATGAATGGAGGGAGGCTGTTATTCCAGCAGGGTCTTCCCTCGATCGGTGTCCGCTACGCCGGGAAGCGCTTCATCCGCAGGAGGATGGGGAGGATGCAGCGTGGGAATAAAGGGGAGCAGCTGGGGACACCGGCCGGGAGGCGCAGTTGGTGCTGAGGTGGAGAGCCGGTGGAGGGCGATGATGATATCCATAGAGGTCCACGTTTCCACCTGACACAGCGTCTCCTTCCTCCTCTTCCTCCTCCTCCTCCTCTAGTGATGCTGGAAAGAAATATCAGCATCAGTGAAGAGAGAGAGAGAGAGACAGAGAGAGAAAGGGGGGGGGGGGTCCAGTGCCTAAAATGAAGAAAATACGCACAGCCGCTAGGGGTCGCGCTTTCACTCTCATGCCTATAGCAGATTTATAACAGATTTTGGTTTATTTGCAGCTATATACTATATATATATATATATATATATATAACTGTAGGTGTTGAAGATATTTATTCTTAATTCTTTATCCGTGTGAATTGTATTAATTCCTAAATGTATATTTTTTGTATTATTGACAGAGTTTTTCTGCAGGTTACTAATTGTTGATTCTATTTATTTTTGTTTTATTATTTTTCTTCTTCTTCTTTTTTTTTTTTTTTTTTTTTGTTCTGAGGTATGACAGGAAGTCCCTACACTTTCTATAAGTGTAGGGGCCTGGGAAATGACCAGCAGGCATTTTGGGTTTGGGGACTATGGTTTTTACCAGTGCAAGAGAGGTAGAAAAAAATAAAAAGTTTGTACTCTTTAATTGTTGGCAAAAAAAAAATAAAATAAAAAGAAAACATTTAGAACCATCATCAAGACCGAACATTTAAACTTCTTTTTGCCTGCATATAGAAACTTGACTCCAGTGCCTTAGTAGTGGCTTAATTGGAGCTTTAAATGGATGTTTGGCGTGGCAAACAATCACCACAACAGTATGCATTTTAATTTTGTTAATTTTAACACAACTTTATTTAAATGATCAAAATCTAAAATTTCAGTGCTAAAAAAATTTTTTTCAGCAGATCATCATGTAAGTGAGGTAGATGAAAAAAAATCCCTCATTAAATTTAAATAACGTATCCTCTTTTAAAGATAAACTATGATGTATGAGTAAAACAAATAATTCATTATCATGTGTTGATTTGCATTATTTTCAGATACTTTTTCCCAATATTTACATAGTTAAGACATGACTTATTTATTTGAGCTAACAATTTATTATCCTTCAAGGCTAACCTGGTCAAAATGTTGAGATAAACATATTAATACTTGCATTTTTTTCTATAAAATTAATTGCCTAATAACCCAAGATCAAAACCTCAAATTAATATACTGTGACAGTGTGAATAGGACGTTATTTAGAAAAAGCATAAATAAGTCATAATCATATACCCCGTTTACACTACCCTTAAAAAACTGAGCCGAGACCGGTCCGAGCTCAGTAACTGAGATAACTTGTCGTGTGTGAACGGAAACAACCTGAACTGAACCGAGATAGACATAACCGGACCGCGCTAACTGCAGACCAGTTCCCGAGGTGGGTTCGGCTCGGTTTTTTCCTGGCTCGGTTCTCTGATAACAAGAGCGCATGAGCAGAATGCGTCATCGCCGACTGGCTGAACATGCCGATTCACACTCCATTCCAGAAAGTCGGCTTCCCAAAAGCCGACTTTCTCAAGTACATCCGCGCAAGGTTGCCGTCTTCGCCTGACCCACCGCAAACACGGAAGTACAGCAATAATAATCAAGCATAACTTTCTGAATGTGACGGGCGCCGCCATTTTGATTTGCTTGATTCCCTCCTCCGTCGTCTTCTTCTTCTTGGGTTTTACGGCGGTTGACAAACAGCGTTTGGTGCATTACCGCCACCAGCTGCTTGAGTCCCTCCTTCAATCCTAGCAGTAACACCGCACATCGTCACTAGGAGTCGAGGAGTCGAGATAACCGAGATAAGTGTGACGTGTGAACGGTCGTCAAAACTGAGCTTGGCCTGGTTACCGATCCAAGCTCGGACCGGTCTCGGCCTGGATCGGTTTTTCAAGGGTAGTGTAAATGGGGCTATAAATACCTCATTAACCGGCATAATAAAATGAACAACCCAATGAAACAGTTCAGATCTGTTTATTTATATAGCACCAATTCACAACACATGTCACCTCAAGGCACAGAGAGGTGACAGAGATTACTGAGGCTATTCAACTTTATCACACAGTCAGATTAAAGTTTTCTATCTAAGGAAAACCAGCTGATTATATCCAGTCATTGGACATAAACCCGTCAGACCGAGCATGCACGCGGTGACAGTGGAGAGGGAAAACTAACCTCCAGCAACAGGAAGAAACCACTAGCTTTAATTAATCTGATCAATAGCAATTCATCAATTGTCAAAATAGTTGCACACTCATTTAGAAATCCATAATGGTTAACTGGAGTTTCCAGACTCTAAAACATGCAGTAAAAATCACTTAGAGCAATAATTAGGTTAAAAAAACAGTTAGGATAGAAAATAATTAATATGCTTTAAGCAAAACTCTGCCAGTTTTACCTTTACCAAAATAAAAATTCAGTAATAAAAATCTCCCACTAAGGACCTTCTGCTATTGGAGTATTAATCATTTTACTCAAAAAATAGCAAAATGCCATTTGAATGAAACAAAAATAACTCTAAATTGTCTCATCAGATAAAATAAATTGTTCTATTAGATAACAAATAACTGATCTCTCATGATATAAACATCATATTTACTTTAGTTATAATGGTTATAATATAATAGGATAAGAGACATTTTGTTGATTTACCAACCTGCTTCAACTAGAGCAGTGCTGACGGTATGTATATGTGACTTTATCCTTGGTATCCCTCAAACTATAATCAGCAAATGTTTGAAAAGAGTCATCCTCCTGCACATTAAAACTGCTATTCCCGCTGACATAAACCAACATATATTTACATGCAGAGCAAAGGGGTCAACACAGTATACAATAATAATAGCTCTACAAACAGCGGTTTTCTCCATAAACTGCAGCAAGTAGTGATCACAGCTGCCCTAACTGACATATATTTACACATTTGCTGAGTTCTTCACTAAAAATACTCAAAAGATTATAGGAGCAGTCTGTAAATCTATATAGTAACATCTGATTTAACTCAAACAATTAAAATGTCCCTTTTGTCAGGAGTTTTCCCCCAGGCCCTAAAAACAGCAAACTGTTGCAGAGCAACTTGGACAAGCTGCAGAAATACAGGCCTATCTCATACCTCCCCTTCCTCAGTAAGATTATCGAAAAAGTTGTGTTTCAACAGCTGAACACTTTCCGAACAATGACCAGCTGCTTCAGTGTCTTCCAGTCAGGTTCACGTATTCACCACAGCACAGACACTACCCTTGACAAGGTGTTCAATGACATCTGAAATGCAGATTCCGGAAGAACCTTAGTGCTGGTATTATGGGATCTCAATTCAGCTTTAGACACCATTGATCACTAGATTTTATTAAAGCATCTGGAAAACTGGGTTGGCCTTTTTGACACAGCACTGGACTGGTCTAAACCCTACTTGACGGGCAGGTGCTTTATTGCATCAAAAGGTTACTTTAAATCAGAAATCAAAAAATAACATGCTGTGTTCCCCTAGGGTCAATTTTAGAGTCCCTCCTGTTTAATATCTACATGCTCCCCGTCACTTCACTCAGATCTTAAAAAAAATAACGAAAGTAACCATAACTATATAGACGACACACAATGTCGCCAGATGACTATGAACCTATTTAAGCGATGCGTAAATAAAAGAAACCAACGCATAGATATGCTAAAATTCTATTCTGCTCAATGAAGACAAAACTAAAGTAAAAGTTTTTGGACCAAAGAAAGAGTGTTCAATAGTTAGCACACCTTCATTTAATACAGCTGGAAACCACCAATCAGGCTATTATTGTGCCATATGCCGTGATCATGGTTTTTGGACATTGGGAACCAGTGCCCATATTTCATCTTGACATAATGACCAGATAGGAAGATGCAATTTTGACTAGAGTCCTGCAACGGGTCGGGTACCCGCAGGGTCCCCCGCTAAAATGCTCTTTTGTGGGTGAAAAATACATAAATAAGCCACAGTCAGTGCATACACGCAGGGCCGGTTCTAGCCCTTTGGTTGCCCTAGGCGAGATTGAGTTTTGCGCCCCCCCCCTCACTTTTGCCGTGCAAAATACCAGTACTGTTTTCAGCATCTGTTTAGTGCTTCATTGAGTTGTGTTTACAGTTCCACAAAGAGTGCTGTGCGGTGAATTGTGCCTACAGTTGTGCAAAGTGTGTGTTACAAAATTGCAAATTGAGTGCAAAGCAGTGTTCTTTTAGTTTTGTGAACTCAGTGAGTGGATTTGCTATAAGTATTAATAGTTTTAGAAATTGTGCTATAAGAATCAAGGTTGTGTTTAAGCATTCAGAAAAAACTGTAACTTAGCATGGAGTGATGCATAGACAAATACCAGAATAGGTTTCAGTACCTTTTCTTTTTTATTATTTTAAATAATTTATTACACACTCAAAGTTAGGACTGTGCAAAAACACTTTTAACCATCTGTAAGGACACTTAGGTAAAGTATAACTAAAAAACTGGATTGAATCATTGAATGAATTTATTTCAGACAATTAACAAATTTAACACACATTAAAAAAATATTAAATAAATCAATTTCAGAAATTACCAAATAACAATAAAAAATAATAAATTTAAGAAATCCTTCAACCAAGGACTACATAAAAAAGTAATTGATAAACATTAAATTAAATTTTCTGTTCCAGTTCAATTAAATCATTTGAACATAAATAGAAATGAGATAAACAAAATTTTCCTCTAAATAAAATATATCAGGTATATTTACCCTGATTTCTGACATTGATTAGTGATTAGAGAAAGGATTAACCCTCTACAAACAAAAGTGCTTTTATGAATACCATTACAAAATTAAGTTTGAAGTTGTTGTTTTTTTTTTTTTGTTCACATATTCTATGATGAACAGCCATAACTTCATATATTTTGATGATTATTTGTACATCCCTTTTGAATACTCAATGCAGATAATCACTACAAAATATTTTATTTATATTAGTATCTTCTACCCATTCTCAAGCTAATAATATAGCACATAATTCTGCTGCATATATACTGAGAAAAAAATGATGTCAACATTAGGGATGGGGATCGTTAATATTTAATGATATCAATACCTTTATCGATACTCCTTA